AAGGCTATGAGGCCTTATCAGCCTTCTACAGCCAATCAAAGTTGACCTTATAACTTTGTCCACCACTGTGCCCCAGCGCCCAGCACATGGAAGGAGTGCCACAGACATAAGCTTGACAGTACTGAACTCTACCCAAACCTTGTGTTGCTGGAGAACAGTGGAGTTTAAGAAATTCCTCCACCCTTTGTGTTCTGGAAAACACTTACTACAAAGAACCCTCCTTCTCTATATGACTTAGGTAAGACCCACAAACGCCGCCCTGGTTTACCTATCACAAGGCCAGCCTCAGACCCTCCAAATTCCCTTTCTTTGTCTCATAAATAATTAGTGGAACTGCTTGACCCCTGTGATCAATTGGAACAACATGCTTGCTAACCAAACTTTGATTAGGCTTCTCTCTTCCCCTACCTAGCCCACTGAATAAACCTTGACTCCACCACAACCTGAGCCAGCATAAGCTCTTCCTGAGACTCAGCTGGCCCTCTAACCTACTACCGGATCCCACCACCCTTTTATCCCGCTTCCCCATACCGTGCTCTTTCTAGCTTTGTTACTTCGCTGTGGAAGGAGAACTCTTTCTGTCTAACTCTTGAGATGTTACAGAGCTTATGGTCAGAAGTTCTCCCCATTGCAATAGTCCCTCCCCACACCTTGCAATAATCTTTTGGAATAAACTTTATCCTTACTAAGTCTGGATTTGTTTTTTATTGGACCCACTGAATGAATGAAACAACCATAACTGATCAGAGAGCAGCAATACTAATCCAGCTTTGCAAATTCTGTTGTGACTTTTCTTGCCATTAGTCACACTTTGAAATTCTGATTCCTGGATTTGCCAAACCCACCAGGCCACGGCCAGGCACCTTGGGTCCAAAGTACAGCTGGTGGCTGAAAGCCAGGCCTCCGGAATAGACACACTAGGATTTGGATTTTGGTGCTCTCAACTCAGGATTTTAATCCTTTGTCGGGATGCATTTATTTTCCCCAGATACTATGCTTTTTATTTTTGGTTTTCCTTCCTGTATCCTGGGTCAGGTCATCAGAACAGCTCTCCCAATGAGCCCATATTGAATGAGCACCTCTAGACGCCACCACTCAGCTGGACCCTGGAACTTGTATGGGGGCAGGAGGACTCTGGCAACAAATTACAAGCAAATGAACTGGGAAGTACTATGAAGAAATCCTGTTCTCACAGAGCACTAACGGAGAACCTATGTATACCCAGTGGACAAGGAGAACTCACTAGGAAGACAACTTACTTTGAGGCCTGAGGCTCAGACAGTCCAGTAATGCGAGCAGCTTGAGAGACGGAGCCTTGAAGCCTGTATTAGTCAGGTTCTCCAGAGAGACAGAACCGATAGGAGATACCTATGTATCTACAGAAAGATAGGTCCTCCAGAGAGACAGAACTGATAGGAGATATCTATCTATCTATCTATCTACCTACCTACTGTAGGAGATATCTATCTGTTTATCTATCTATCATCTATCGATCGATAGGAGATATCTATTATCTATCCATCTATCTATAGATGTATATATCTATATCTACCTATAGAGAGAGACAGAGAGAGAGAGTGAGAGAGGATATTAGAATTGGCACATGCAATTATGGAGACTGGAAGTCCAGGGACAGGAGGGTCTGCAAGCTGGAGACCGTGGGATGCAGATAATACGGCTCAGTGCAGGTCCAAAAACAGAACCAGGGAAGCTGATGATGTTACTCTCATTCCAAGGCCAGAGTCCTGAGAACCTGGGGGTTAGGGGAGGGTGTGTAAGTCCTGGAGTCGAGACCATTTTGGGCTTTGTCCACCAAGATTAACAATTCGACTTTTAGTCTAAGTGGGTGTATTAGTCTGTTTTCACACGGCGGATAAACACATACCTGAGACTGGGCAAAAGAAAGAGATTTAATGGACTCACAGTTCCACATGGCTGGGGAGGCCTCACAATCATGGCGGAAGGTGAAAGGTGGGTCTCACATGGCAGCAGCTGGAAGAAGAGAGCTTGTGCAGCGCAACTTCCCTTTATAAAACCATCAGATCTAGTGAGATTCATTTGCTATCTGGAGAATAGCACAGAAAACACCCGCTCCCACTATTCAATCACCTCCCACCGGGTCCCTCCCACAACAGGTGGGAACTGTGGAAGCCACAATTCAAGATGAGTTTTGGGTGGGGACACAGCCAAATCCTATCAGCGGGAAGAGGCTTGTAAGATCTTGTTTTAATGTTTGCTTTGTTGTTTAATCTGATTGCAAGTGAGGGTTAAAAACATTTTCAACCTGTTGACCATTTGCATTGTTTGCTGAATTATCTGCTCCTATTCTCTCTGAGGAAGAGTAGGTCTCCCTCAGACCTACCGAAGTCATAGCATCTTTCCTATTCATATGAAGTCTCTCTCAGTGACGGATTTCAATCCTTTGTTGTGTTGAGTTTATTTTCCCCAGGTTATCTGCTTTTTAATTTTGGTTTTCCTTTTTAAGTAGAAGCTCCAAACTTTGTGCCTTAGTGTGTGAGGATTTTTTTTTTTCTTTGATGGAGTCTTGCTCTGTTGCCCAGGCTGGAGTGCAATGGCACAATCTTGGCTCACTGCAACCTCTGCCTCCGGGTTCAACCAATTCTCTGTCTCAACCTCCCGAGTAGCTGGGATTACAGGCGCCCGCCACCACGCCCAGCTAATTTTTTTTTTTTCTTTTTTCTTTGTATTTTCAGTAGAGACGAGGTTTCGCCATCTTGGCCAGGCTGGTCTTGAACTCCTGACCTCGTGATCCACCAGCCTTGGCCTCCCAAAGTGCTGGGAATTACAGGTGTGAGCCACCACGCCCGGCCAGTGTGTGAGAATTCTTCCATCACTTTTTATCTTAAGAAATCCTCGGCCACCTGACATTTGATAAACATGACTTAAGTTTTCTTGGTCCCTGTTGTCCGGATCCATGTTTTACACTCCTGGATTTCTGTTTTCTTCTCGGGGTGGGACAATACCTCCCCTGGTGTGGCCCTCAGCCCAGGAGCGCAGAGCCCGCCGCAGAAAGACCCCTCGCCCATCTGCGCCCAGCCGTTCCCCGCAGGAGGGCTCAGGGGACCCCACGTTACTGGAATCCGTCCCGAGTCACAGCTACAGATCATTACCCACAAGCGGGGTCAAAGGCCTCTTTATGGGCGAGAAAGCGGCGGCTCAGCAGAAAGCCAAGCACTTTGGGAGGGAGGAGCTGAGGTGCTTTAATACCCTGAACAAAGGCGAAAACAACCCACGGCCAGCGGGGGTAGACCTGCTAGGCGGCTGGGCGGGGCGAGGCCACTTCCGGGTGTGGAACCCTGCCCCCGCCCCGAGCCCCGCCCTAATCCCCGCCCATATCCCCGCCCTAAGCCCCGCCCCGGACCCTGTGGTCCCGGGATGAACTCTCAGCACAGCCAGGCTCGCTCCAGTGCCCGCCCACCGCTGACTTCATTGGCTGCCTGCCCAACCCCGCCCCCAGGAGGGCCTGCTGATGTTCGTAGCCAATCCTAAGGCGCGGCGGCGGCGGCGGGTGTTGAGTGGCGGGTCGCGGGTCGCGGGTCGCGGGTCGCCGGTCGCCGGTTGGGGGTTGCGGTGAAACCTGGGCGCTGAGGTACTGGGGCCTGGACGAGGGGGCCGCGGTCTGGCTGGGGAGCTGCGCGGGCTCGTGGCGGTACGGCGGCCTGGCCTCGCTCGTGGGTTTGCGGGCGGGCAGCCCCTCCCCGGGCTCCTAGGGGGACCCTCCAGCTGGAGGGGCGGTGACCACGACTGTCGAGGGCTGGCCCCAGGTGGCTAGGGTTGAGGTCAGAGGTCCTGCCTTATGGAATGTTAAGGCCCCGCCCGTGGAGCCCTAGGGCCGGGCCGCTCCCTATTTTCCTGTGAGCTGTTGTTGAGGCGCCCCATCCTTTCGCAGAAGGGACTCGGAGGGAAGCGGGCCTGAGAGCAGCTGCAGCCCCTAAGCTCGGACGCGAAGACTAGCCCCGCCCCCGGGCTGCCGCCGAGGTCCTGCAGGTGACCCTCAACCCCTCGAGGACCGCCGGCCGCCTCCCTCCTCTGGGCAGGCTCAGGAGTCCGCAGAGCTGGGTGTGCGCCTGTGGCCCTCGAGGGCGTGGGCGGGGAGTAGGGGTCGAGCTGGGGCCACAGGCTGTCCCCGTTTGGCCTGCTCCCCTGTGGCTCCGAAGCCAACTTTTTCTGAAGTTGTCAGTCCGCTTGTTTGAGATTTCGTTTCTGGAATCTCACCCGAACAATTTGGAGAGAGGAACAGGGGTATTGTGGCTTTGGCTGTTGACTCAAGGTGAAAATAAAAACCAGACATGGGGATGTAATGAATGCAGAGTGACCCGTGAGCAAACTGGACGATTTTCTCTGGCTGACAGGCATTTATTTTCCCCCTAGCTTGCCCCACATACTATGGGTTACACTGTTGTCAAAATAAGAGCAGTTTAGTCCCATAGTTCTAAGCAAGAGTCCTTAGCGTTGACCTTCTTAGTGAAGATACTTTGCAATGTGTAAAGCATTGAATACAAAATTGTTGTGCAAAGGTTCTGAGTTGAAGATTCTCACGGAGACTGGCAACAGCCTTTACTTTCCATTGCAAGGATCTCAACTTACTACTCTGAGACCAGAAGTAGTTGTTTCTCTACCTATGTGGGTTTTGGGGAGACAGCTATGGATGAGGAATAGGGACAGAAAAACGTATGCAATTAGAAAACACAAAGGGTTTTTATTATGCCTATCTTCTTCCATCTCAGCCAGCATAAGCACATTCTTTTTTCTACTGATGGTATTTGTTGAGTATTTGCAGTGATTCGGGAAAGGGATACTCTAACAAGACACTTTTCTTTAAACAAGGCGGTGGAGGGATGATTATGTCTTCTGTGGAATTAACCCTCGGGCTTGGTTTTCAGTAAAGAAAATGAGGCACAAGGAATTGTTAACCAAGACCTTCCAAGGCCCAGCTGTTGTCTGTAGGACTCCGACCAGCCACGTGTACACATTTAAGAATGGCAGTGGGGACTCGGGGGACTCCTCTGAAGAAGAGTCTCACGGTGCGGTTTTGCGGCCCCGGGGCAAGGAGCGCCAGAAGAGCGGTGTCCACCAGCCTCACCAGGCGGGAGCAGGTGACGTGGTGCTGCTGCAGCGGGAGCTGGCCCAGGAGGACAGCCTCAACAAGCTGGCTCTGCAGTATGGCTGCAAAGTAAGACACCCCTCAGGGGCTCTGCCCCACTTCGTTTCAAGGAACACGGGGAACTCACTGCAGGGTGGGGCCCTTGCTGCCCTTCTTCACCCTGCCAGGCCATCAGGAGAGGCCTGCTGTAGCAGCCAAGGACTCCCCTATTTAGCCAGAATTGGAAGGCAGAGGGGGAGTACCTTTAGTTCCTAACCCTGGCCCCCAAAGAGTGAGGGTTAGTACATTTCCTTCTCTTCAGGGGACTTCTCCTTTTTCTGTTTTTCTCCACACTGAAATTCTGAAACCTTTTTTCTTCTTTCGAGCACATTTTATTTTAGACCTAATGGGGCTGGAAATACCAGGCAGAATTTATCCCAGATTTCTATGGTATGCTTGCTTTTCTTGCTGCTTTTATTTTTCTGAACCTTTCTTGGTGGTAGCTTACTTGACTGGTAAAGTTTTACCTTATCTCTTTTAGAACTGCATGATCTTTTGTATGCTGTGTATCTATGTAACCCTGTTTTTCTCTTTAATTATGTTTTTAGCATTCAGAGTGATTAACAATGGCAAAGTAAGTAGGAAAGTATTTCTAGAATTGCTGCATTTTCTCCTAGATTGTAACTATTTCACTTTGCTAACACTGCTACAAATGTCTATGGCCTTCTCTAAGGGTAAATAAGCTACTTAATTAAAAAAATCTCTTTCTCCTACAAGCGTCTTATCTAACAAGGTCCAAATGTCTAAAACATGTTGTGTGGGGTGTTGCAGTCTTTCCCAGGGAAATAAACAGGTGGTCTCCGGGGACACATAGTGGTCTTTAAATTGTACTAACATTTATATTCGGCTCCGATAAACAGCTTCTGCAGGCATACTGTGTGGCTTACAGAACATGGGCTGAAAAATGAAGCCCATCCTACAAAGACTGGAATAGATGGAGTAGGCTTCTTGCTATGGTGATGTCTAAATCTGTAAAGAATATATAAAGCCTTTGATAAGTGATCAGTTTTCCTATTCAAAGTAAGTAAATTTGCTCTTAGTTTGTTAAAGGCAGAGACGAAAAGATCTCAAGGGTCTCATGCATTAGATTCGGGACATAGTAAATTAAAAATGTCCCCTACTTCGATTCAGTTACAATAACAGCAGTTGCTGAATAATTAAAATAATGGAAATGATTGATTTGAATATCTGTTGGCTGTATTCACTTTCTAGTTTAAGTGGACTTATGTGTTAAAAGTTTAGAGTTCATCTCTGATGCGTTTGGAAAGTTTTCAAACATTAGTTTGAGGGAGGGGTTAGTTACCCTTTGACTTAAATTTCCCCCTGCTTCTTAAATCTTAGTGTTTGATTATGAGAGGGGTTTGTCATGAACTTTGTTATTTGATAAAACTCACAGCATTAGTCCTTTTTCCTGACAGTTAAGTACAGTAGGTCACTTTTAATAAGTTTATATGCCCCACAGTGTTTCTGGGAAAGAAAATGCTGAGGGCATCTCTCTCAACTTTATTACAGGTCAACTGGATTCTGAGTGTGTCTGTGGAGCTGGCTGAGGCTGTGTGTTTGGTGAACGCTAACATCTCGCAGCTACTTAGTTCTGGCATGAGGGGAAGGCAGGCAGATGGGGGCACTATTGCCTCAAAGGTGGAAAAGGCTGCAACATTTATTTTAGTGCCATGGTTGTTTCACCTAAAGCATTTTGTTGCAGTTACACTTTAAAGTTTAAGAAAGATCTGTATTTCAAAACTGATCTTAAATTGTTCAAACCTATAAATCTTTAGGAATATCTGATTACTAAACTATATATTGAGGCTGAGTGAAAGCCAAAAAGAAACTTTCAGCCTAAACTAACGTTGTGTATAGCTGCAGTTTTCCAGTTTTCATCAGATTAAGTGAAGAGGGCTTGAATCATCACCCTGAAAGATTAAGAGCCACTTTTTGGAATGTTATTTTTAAGGGGCTTCACATATTTTATGATGTTTGTCTTCATGCTTTCCTAGGTTGCAGATATCAAGAAAGTCAACAACTTCATCAGAGAACAAGACTTATATGCTTTGAAATCTATTAAGATTCCAGTGAAAAACCATGGGATCCTAACAGAGACCCACAAAGAACTAAAACCCCTTCTGAGCCCATCTTCGGAGACCACAGTGACTGTGGAACTGCCAGATGCAGACAGAGCAGCCGCAGGCACCGATGCCCAGGCTGATCAACTGATGGATTTCTTTAAGGGGATTGACCAGAATATTGAGCGTGCAGTGCAGTCGGAAATCTTTTTACATGAAAGTTACTGCATAGACACCTCGCATCAGCCACTGCTCCCAGCTCCTCCGAAGATGCCAATGAATGGTGCAGATTGTGGCATTCAGTGGTGGAATGCTGTTTTCATCATGCTTCTAATTGGTATTGTCTTGCCTATCTTTTATTTGGTCTATTTTAAAATACAAGCTAGTGGTGAGACCCCTAATAGCTTGAACACAACTGTCATCCCCAATGGCTCGATGGCAATGGGTACAGTTCCAGGGCAAGCCCCTAGACTAGCAGTTGCAGTGCCAACCATCACTTCTGCAGACAGCCAGTTCAGTCAGACCACCCAGGCCGGGAACTAAGCTTTTTTTTTTTTTACAGAATCAGGCCAGCTTTAGCAGTTGGCTGTTGATATACCTCAGCTGTCATCGGCAATGTCCTAGGGGTGCTGCATTTTGCTTCCTGGGAAGGATGGACACTTTTCAGAAGTCATTGCAGTATTCTCAGTTGCACTGGCCCTGGGAATGGCCTTGCCCAGTCTAAGCCGGCAGGATCTAAGATAACAGCGACCTCAGCCTCTATCCAGAGAGGTGCAGCAAGAAAGCCATTTCCATGTGACATTTAGTGGACTGGCCATGTGTTCATAGCAGCACTGTGTGGGACCCCAAGTTGGACGTGCTCGGAGGGAGAGAAATGGCCTCTGTCAAGGGACCTGCAGTGTGAGAGCCAATGGGATCTGCACGGATCGCGGGGCTGTCGCTGTATCCTCACTTGCTGTGGAGTGGGGATTGCCTCTGAGAAGGAGTGTTTTCTGTCTCGCGGGCAATGGTGTTGTGGAATAGTCTTGGCATGCCACCCTGTTTTGGAGAGTGACAATTACAGTCGTAACAAGCCTACTTCATGTTGGCCCCCTCAGCCTTTTTGAGGCAATGCCATTTCTAGAGTTGAAAAAGCCGTGGACCCAAATTGCTACACTGTTGAATAAAGGGCAGTCCTGCTCCTGTCCTTTTAGAGCTGCTTGGTGTGACACACAGGCTGTGCCCAGTTCCGCAGGAGCTGTCCCGCAGTGTGGCTCCCTGGCTTCTCCCAGTTGGCCTTCTCAGAAGGAGCTCTTGCTGGCCAGTGTTTGGAGGGGAGGATGAGTGCCTGTCACTGAGGCTCCACCATGGGTGGCGTCTGAAGCTGGGCAGTCGCCAGGCCTGTGCTGAGAGCCGCAGCCCCTGTGCACACCTAACACGGCACGCCACCTGCTGCTTCCCTGGCTGGGTTCTTCGGAGCTCCAGAGCAAGAAGGCCGCTTAGTCCTTTTTCCCTGGGTGATGCCCCTAGAATAACACTATATACAATGTAACTCACAATGTTACAGGACCAAAGGCTTGATGGAGGGGCTAGAGGCGACCCTTGGGAAAGGCGATCAGACCACCTGAGGGAGGAAGGGCTTGCAGTTTTCCCAGCCCTTCTTGCTGCCAAGGCAGCAGTGGTGCTGTGGATGGGCTGGGGCCTGCTGGGCAGAGCCTGCTACTGCTTGGGAGTTGGTGCTACCGTGTGGCATGGAGGGGTAGGAGGGCCTGAGGTGGCTGCTGGCCCAGCCTCCAAGAGTGCTGGACAGGAGGCAGACACTGCCCAGATGCTGGGTGGAGGGACAGTGATGGCCTTTGACGCATGAGGCCTGGAGAGAAGTTTCCAAGGTCTCACCATGTAAGAGTGATTTCCGATTTCTCTCCTTTCAGTTGTGTGAAAAAAAATTGACCTGGGTTCCATTAGCAAATTGAAATCGTCTTCAGTCTTAAATTAGAGACCAGAATGATCTTCAGGATAAAAAGAACTTCTGAATCTTTGCAATAGGAAATATTTTGATCATGCAAGTGCTTTTCCAGCCAAATGTCTGTTCTCCGTGTCACTGAGGGCCACAGATTCCTCTAACATCTGTCACTGTCACTTCACCAGGCAGGCCTTGGAGTTCCATGGCAAAATCGCTTTGGTCAGACAAAGAATGTATCCTTTACTTTTCTCAAATGGAATAAAAATCATTTCTTCTGTGAAGGAAAATTGATTCCTCCTTTTTATTTTATTTGTTTATTTAATTTTTTTTTGGAGACAGTCTCACTCTTTGCCTCAGCCTCCCAAATAGCTGGGATTACAGGCACACATCACCATACCTGGTTAATTTTTGCATGTTTAATAGAGATGGTGTTTCGCCATGTTGGCCAGGCTGATCTCAAACTCCTGACCTGCCCACCTCGGCCTCCTGAAGTGCCAGGATTACAGGTGTGAGCCACTGCACCTGCCCCAACCTTTTAAAATTCGGGGAGGATTTAGCATTGAAAGATGTGAGACGCTGCTGGAGAAGATGGAGGTGTCTGTCAGGAGTGAGGCCTGTGCTGTCCCCTGCACCTGGCCACCAACTCGGGGCTTGTACTGTGCCGAAGGTGACTCAGACAGGTGCAGGACAAAGTGGTAACCAGTGCCCTAGGGATGATGGATCGCTGATTGATCTGTATACAGGCTTTAACATTGCTTTATTAGGTGTACATAAGAATACACAATACTCACTTCCTATTCCATATATTACTACGTTTTCAGTGTCTTTGGGGAGTGAATGTTTTAGAGAAATAGTTAGGTGTGCTATCTAGTCTCCAGTCTTTTTGGTTGGACTATAGTGCTGACTGTTGACGCCCAAGGAATCTCCATTGTCAAGAAAATGTTGCTTTAATTTTACTCTGGAGAGAGAGAGCTGCAGGGACTAAGCAGACGCCCCAGGGTCACTCAGAACCTCCACTGCCCAGCAGAGGTGAGGAAGGTGTGGCCCAGCCTAGGTGCATGCTGGGGGAACAGTCAAGGCTCTGCCATGCAAGGTGGTCTGCACTGCAGTGGGTGGAGTGTGCAGGGGAGGGGTGACAGGAGACATGCCTGAAGTCATGGAATTAAGAGCCACTTGGGGCTGGGCGTGGTGGCTCACGCCTGTAATCCCAGCACTTTGAGAGGCCAAGGTGGGTGGATCACTTGAGGTTAGGAGTTTGAGACCAGCCTGGCCAATATGGTGAAATCCCCTCTCTACTAAAAATACAAAAATTAGCTGGGCCTGATGGTGTGGGCCTGTAGTCCCGGTTACTTGGGAGGCTGTGGTACAGGAATGGCTTGAGCCTGGGAGGCAGAGGTTGCAGTGAGCCGAGATCTGGGAGATCTAGGAGACAAAGCGAGACTTAGAAGAAAAAAAAAAAAAAAAAGCCAGTTGAGACAGTGGAAGCCTGGGCTCAGCTGTAGGAAAGGCCCAAAGAGCCATGACCATTTCCTCTTTGGGAAAGACTGGGCTGCAGCAACAATCATATAAGCCATGGTGCTCCCTGGATCCACAGTGTTCTAAGAGCTTCATACGCTCACCCACTTTACCTTCACTACTTCCCCACGAGGCAGGCACTTCTATCCGCATTTTACAGATGGAAAAAGTAAACTACCTACGACCACACAGCTAGTAAATGGGGGTGTTTGGGAGCCTGTGCTCTTCATCCCTTTCTGCTCAGCCACCTGCTTGACAGTCCACTGTGGGCCTGAGGTAGGACACCCATGGCATGATCCAGGCTCACAGAACATGGGGGGTGCTCAAGGTCTCCCAAGTCAGGGCTTCAGGATGGGACAGCAGAGAAAATTTCTACTGGCCACCTGGCGTACTGGCCTCACAGTGATAAGAAAAGTTACATCCATTGCCTGAATCGCAGTAATTGTAGAATCAGCATTTACCTGCCCATTTTCTTGGTGCAGAATCAACTGGATTTAGCCTGTGAGCCAATGAACCAGGCCCCTTGACTTTGAGAAACAGACTGTCAGGAAAGGAGCCTCCCTTAGCTGCTTCCCTCCCAGCACTTAATGCCTTGCGACAGCTCTTCCAAGCTTATTTCCAGAGACAGGGTATGGCTGGCTTCAGGCCAGGCAGGGGAACGGGGCTCGGGGGAGTGTGGATAGCATCCACCTTGCCTGTTCTCCAAGTTTGGCAGAGTGGAGCTGCTGTGAGGAAAGGCAGCCTCCTTGCTCCTGCACCGCCAATCAGATCCCATTGCCCCTGGAAGGACCAGTGTGGTGATGAAGTGCAGCTCCAACCTGTGACCTGTTTCCCTTCCCGTTCCTGCTCAGAGCTTGCAGAGAGATTGCACCACAGTGCCAGTGAGGAGGCAGGGAGTCCCTACCACAACCTGGGGGAGACTTTCTCACACCTTTGGAAAACACTGGGTGGTTGTTCCTCACCATTTCACTATCCCGAATAAAGAACATGGGCTACTTTCCATCCATCCATCCATCCATAACCTTCCAGAACACCAATTACACCAAGAGGTGATGCGATAACATGACATGGCCCCTGCCCTCAAGGTGCTTATAACCTAGTGGGATAAGACCTATGCCAGGGCTGGGCGTGGTGGCTCACACCTATAATCCCAGCACTTTGAAAGGCTGAGGTGGACAGATTGCTTGAGCCCAGGAGTTCGAGACCAGCCTAGGCTGAACATGGTGAAATCCCATCTGTACCGAAAAATTACAAAAATTAGCCAGGCGCAGTAGCATGCGCCTGTAGTCCCGGCTACTTGGGAGGCTGAGGTGGGAGAATGGCTTGAGCCTGGGAGGTGGAGGTTACAGTGAGCTGAGACTGTGTCGCTGCACTCTGCCTGGGTGTCGGAGCCAAACCCTGTCTCAGGAGAAATAAAGAAACTTTTAAAAAAGACCTTTGCCAGAGAAGAGTTATGGTAGAACATGCCCCACAGAGGGAAATGTATGACAAGTGGTTAATAAAACAAAGGGTTTTCTGGAGGAGATGACATTTCCTTAGTCAACATCTGAAAGAAGGCTGGGATTTAGTACTATGGCAGAGGATGGTTCTTTTCAAAAAACACTGTTGAGTGTGAGCGAAGGCCTAGAGGCTGGAAACGGGGGACTATGTAGACAGGGAACTGTGAGTAGTCTGGTGGCCTGGCATGAAGGAAATGTAAACGGAGCTGTGGGAAAATGCTGCAGTACTAGTTTGAGGCCAGGTTCTAGGCAGCCCTGAATTCCACATTGAAGTGATCTGGACATGATTTGATGGACAGTGGGAAGCTATTGACAGGCTTGGAGCAGTAGAGAGTTGATGAGCCCTGAAGTGAAGAATGATAGTCACAGTTTTGGAGAGGCTTGGTTGGAGGAGTGGAGACCTTAAGAGGTGATTGTCTCAATTTGTACTCATGGGATTTTAATTTACAGAGGTGATGCATGACAACATGGAGACATTCCTTCTTCCTGATGTCATCGCAAGAAGTTTTACTACTTGTAATTCTCAAGAGAAGGGGGCACACCAGGTCCCACAGGGCCACATGGGGGATGCACCAATGTTGGTCAGGAGGCAGAAAGGAGCCAGGGGCATGCTCAGGCCACAGCCTTCATCGTGTTTCTGTGGGAAGGGGCAGGCAGGGCAGGGAGAACAGGCTAGTCCCGGGAGCAGCAGTCTCTCCTCAGTCAGCAAGGCCCCCAAAGCCAGAGCATCAAGAATACAGAAGATAAGAACCAGTTTCTACAATAAGAAAGAGTTAATACAATTGGCTTTGTGAGGAAGGGATGCCGAACAGACAGATGCAGAATCTAAGAAAGCCCAGAACAGTGATGCGGCTCAGAACTGGCAATGTGATTCTGAGGAGCCTTGGTATGGCTTTCTTCATATTTCTGTTTGGGACTCATTGTTTCTTGGATCTGTGGATTTATATAGCTTCATCTAATCTGGACACATTTTAGCCATTATTTCTTTGAAAACTTTTTCCTCATCATTTCCCTCCAATTATAGAGCTCATTTGTATTTTCTTCTGTTTTATTTTGGATAGTTTCTATTGCTGTTTTCCTTTGTAGTAGTGTCTGTCTAATCTATAGTAATTCCATTCAGTGCACCTTTTTTTTTTTTTTTTTTTTTTTTAGACAGAGTCTTGCTCTGTTACCCAGAGTGGAGTGTACTGGTGCGATCTTGGCTCACTGCAACCTCTGCTTCCTGGGTTCAAGTGAATCTCCTGCCTCAGCTTTCCAAGTAACTGGAATTACAGGTGTGCACCACCATGCCTGGCTAATTTTTGTGTTTTTAATAGAGATGAGTTTTCGCCATGTTGCCCAGGCTGGTCTCAAACTGACCTCAAGTGATCTGCCAACCTCGGCCTCCTAAAGTGCTGGGATTAGAGGCCTGAGCCATCAGCCTCGCCCAGTGCATCTTTTACTACAGGTCTTTTTAATCTCTAAAGGTTCTATTTGGGTCTTTTAAATATCTTCTATTTCATCATTGTGTTTATATATTCTGACACATGGAGTATATTTGTAAATAGCTGTTTTAACATCCTTATCTTCTAATTCCATCATTTATGTCATTCTGGGTCCATTGGTTGATCTCTCCCCCCATCTGCCTCCCATTATAGATTGTATGTTCTTGTTTTTCTCTGTGCGTGGTAATTTGTTGTTGGATGCTAGACATGGTGAATTTTATGTTGTTGGATGCTGGATTTTGTTGTCTTCCCTTAAATAGTTTGTGCTTTGTCCTGGGGCATGGTTAGTTGGAATCAGTTCCATCCTTCCGAGGCTCACTCTTCTGCTATGTTAGGGCAGGTGTAGAGCAGCGTGTAGTGAGGACTCATTCGGCCCTGCTCCCAGGGCGATGCCTTCTGAAGGTTTTTTCAGTCCTGCTCCTGTGGTGATGCCTATTGTTTTTTTTGAGATGGAGTCTCACTCTATCGCCCAGGCTGGAGTGCAGTGGTGCGATCTCGGCTCACCGCAAACTCCACCTCCTGGGCTCATGTCATTCTCCTGCCTCAGCCTCCTGAGTAGCTGGGACTACAGGCGCCCTCCACAACGCCCGGCTAAGTTTTTTGTATTTTTAGTAAAAACGGGGGTTCACCATGTTAGCCAGGATGGTCTTGATCTCCTGACCTCATGATCTGCCCGCCTCGGCCTCCCAAAGTGCTGGGATTACAGGCATGAGCCACTGCGCCTGGCGATACCTTTTTAAGATTCTCCGAATGCTGTGTGTGTTAGAAGGTCTCATGACCTGACACACA